AAGAGTGTCAGAGTATCAAGTTCTTAGCCCATTTTGGGTGTAGCATGTTCTGTTGGCATTGTATATTTGAAGTTTGATGTGTACTTACATACCTCCAGATTGTAGAACAAGACACTTACTCAGTCATACAGGACAATAAGTCTTCAAAAAAGGGTTTTCCTTCATGATCATGATAAAACTGTGCAGCCATTTCACGAGTTAAAGATTCTTCTTTAAACTTTGAGATGGTAAATCCAGCGTCTTTCACTTTCTGCAAAATGACATCTAGGAGAATAACAAGCAAACTCAGTCTTGATTGAAATGGTTTAGATGCAAAAAGTCATTTTAAAGTTCAGATGCTAAAAACCACCCAAACTAAAACTTTCAGAAAATACTAGATGCTTTTTTAAAAAAACCCCAAGTCACCAATAACTATTAAAATCCTACTTACAGCATCAATCAATCGTGGACAATATGACAAACACTTCAACAGTCCTCTAAAATGTACAGAAACCATCGTCATTGCACTAATGCAGGTGACAAACCCAGACCATTATAAACCATACCAGTAGCATTCGCTGTTGTTTCTCACATTGGACAGACCATGGACTGTAGTTGTAGTGCTTTATCACACACCAGCTGGCCTGCTAAAATCAATCTGGGTTGTTACAAGAGGGAAAGAAAGACTCACAAAAGCCAATAATAAATTAACATTAGAAAGACTACTGAGATTTGTTATGACAGAGAAGAAGAATGCCAGGAAGAGGCTTTAGATACAGAGTTTACAAAAAGAGGCAGCAAAATCTTTCAGGTGTTCTTTTTGCTTTGACCTTTCCTCCTCCTTCCCTTTGTCTAATGGCAAGTTAAAAGAGGGATGGGAATGCATCTAAGAGAGCAATGACCCCTTTTGAGCAATAGAGATTCCTGTCTGAAATAAGTAACATGAATTTGGAAAGCCTCTCTCCTTTGACTTAGAAGGATGCTGGGCAGCTAGTTTGCACATGTGTCTGGCTTTTAAACAGTTTAACTTAGCTAAGAACTCCCTCACTTGGATTCACCACCACTCTCATGAAGAAAGGGCTATAGGGAGCTTTAGCAAAGGAAATGTCACATTTGAGGCCTCACTGTGAATTATGCAAGCCCTGTAAAAGCATTTCTCTGCACAGAAAAAATATTCCAGAGAATAAAAAGAATGCATCTGACATGAATTACTGCAGTGGACATTGCTAATATTACGTAGAAATTACATCAGTAGATGTAGCCCATACTTTCTAGATCACTTACCTTTATACTTTGCAGCAGCAGCAGGCTTGATTAATGCAAAAGTGTGCTCCTCTGGGAAGAAGAACTCCAATTCCTTCTGAGCATCATCAGGTGTGGAACTGCCATGCAGCTGACCAATTGGTACGTTGCTGACTGCATACTGTGCACGTAAACTAAGAGTCATTAAAAGAGTAAAGTTACTTAAAGGAGTAACCATTTTGAGCCTGAACTATTTGACTAGCCTTAACCCAGTGAATATAAATGAATGTTGATCTGGTGACATAAGTGCTTGATGATGTCTCTGTAGGAGCAGGCAACCTTCCTTATCTACAAAAAGAATAAGCTTTTAAATTGACCACCTGAAACACCAACACCATCCCTCCCAACTCTCACCTTGTTACACTCCCAAGGTAATACCAGCTCTTTCCTAATGAATCAGCCCTTCTGGCAGCAACAGGTAAGATGATAGAGTAGCAGTGTCTTAGAGAAATTTACCAATAGCAGGTAAAACTAGGATGTACATTTATAAAATGTGTAGGAGAAACTTAGTCACAAGTAAAAATTCCACTGATGTGAAGTTTTCGTTAAGCTGAGAAAATAAGCATCTGTTCTATAAAATAATGGTGCTATTTCAGGAAAAAAAAGAAAGTAATAATATTGGTAAAAAATACCAGTATTTTTTCTCTGATTCACAGAATCATAGAATCATAGAATGGTTTGTGTTGGAAAGGACCTTAAGATCACCTAGTTCCAACCCCCTGCCATGGGCAGGGATGCCTCACACTAGATTCAACAGATCTCCTTTCACTTCAGTACCCTTTTCATGATGTTTAGCAGCCATTATTGCCCAAAAAGTGCTACCGTTTCTATGCACAATACAACAATTCTTCCAAGAAAAGCTTCACAAACAGCAGAAGTATATATTAGTTTCCAGATGATGGCACTATAGTTACACCAGTTGGAATGTGATATTGACTGAGATGAGGAATGTGGAAGTAAACTGGACACTGTGAATGATGGTTTACTATTGTCAGTATTACCTGTTCGGATTTTCCTTCATAGCTTCCTCAACAGTCTTTGGGCCTAATAAATCTCTCCAGTGTGCTACAGCATTTTCTCGTGTTAGAGCAAGTATCAGAGTTGGGCCACTGTGAAATGGGAAGATTTGCGTTAAAAAATAAAACTAAGCTCTCTGTAACTTGTAGAAGTAATTTGGTTACATAGAGCTAGGAATATAAACCCTGGTACGGGAGCATTTTAAACCCAATCTCTGTTTAAACAGCTACAGTCTGATAAAACCTTATGGGGCTTAAACATAAATCTAAATTTCCAAATGACTGAACATTACAACAGCAGCAAGAATGTTCTAGAACTGGGCTATGTCTTTATTATTAGCCACTAAAATGCTGAGCAGCTCCTAAGTTTTTGTCCCAGCCCAGCTTCCTATGAAGGCAATATCTGAACATGATGCATTTTTCCTCCCCAGTCCACCACACAGCCTGGATGAAGATTTTGGAGTTTTCCTACAGGCAAGCTAAATGCAGGCTTGGAGGGCAGAGCTCAGCTGATTTCACCCAGATCAATGGAACTGGCTGCTGCCTTCGACTTCATACATACAAATACGTGGAGTAGCTCATAATTTTTTAGAACCTCATTTATTTAGAATGGTTTGGATTGGAAGGGACCTTAA